GTGGAAAGGGCCAAGATGTCCATCGACAGATGAATGGATAAAGAAGAGATGGTATATATACACAATGGAATATTATGCAGCCATCAAAAGGAATGAGATCTTGCCATTTGCAATGACGTGGATGGAACCGGAGGGTGTTATGCTGAGTGAAATAAGTCAATCAGAGAAAGACATGTATCATATGACCTCACTGATATGAGGAGTTCTTAATCTCAGGAAACAAACTGAGGGTTGCTGGAGTGGTGGTGGGTGGGAGGGAGGGGGTGGCTGGGTGATAGACATGGGGGAGGGTATGTGCTATGAGGAGCGCTGTGAATTGTGCAATACCATTGAATCACAGATCTGTACCTCTGAAACAAATAATGCAATATATGTTAAGAAAAAAAAAAGAAGAAGATAGCAGGAGGGGAAGAATGAAGGCGGATAAATCGGAGGGGGAGAAGAACCACGAGAGATGATGGACTCTGAAAAACAAACTGAGGGTTCTAGAGGGGAGGGGGGTGGGGAGATGGGGTTAGCCTGGTGATGGGTATTAAAGAGGGCATGTTCTGCGTGGAGCACTGGGTATTATGCAGAAACAATGAATCATGGAACACTACATCAAAAACTAATGATGTAATGTATGGTGATTAACATAACAAAAAATTTAAAGAGAAAAAAACAAGGAGAAGTAAATGGAACTCAGGTTTGAAGATGGAAACAAAGTTGGCATTTTAATCTTGACTTCTTAGGAACAGGAATACAAGAAGAACTAACAGATGCAAATCAAACATCACTTTTGAAAGAACAAGCAGAAAGTTTAACTCTCAACAGCAAAACAAGGGGAAGGGGTTGCCAATAGCTGTGAAATACCAGGTAGAGGTGGGTGCTGAAGATTTCAGAGCTGCTCCTTTTGAAGGTGGAACCTGAAATTGTCAAACCTAATCTTGTAGAACAGCAGGAAGGACTTTCAGGATGGTGCTAGATCTCTGTGCTGGGTTTCTTCATGAGAAACAAAGGGATGGGGTAGAATGAGGACTCACAGGCACAAGCTGTGTTGGAAAGCTGCAGTCCATCTGTGAAGTATTAGAAAATGAAAAAGACTTTATACTTGAAAAAACTAAAAAGACTTCATTCAGTTGAAGAATAGTAAAGACTGAGGAGAGCATGCAGTGCCCTTGTTAGGAAATATTCCTGCCAGTTTGGAATACGGTTCTCAGTTCACCCCCATGGGAAAGCTGGATCAGGAAATAGCTGGGTCAGGAAAAACCCATCTCTTTCAGTGCTCAGGAATTAAAAAACAAAACAAAACAAAACAACAGCCATCACAAGATATATGCAAAGTTATTACAAGAAACAGGAGAAGACAGGACAAGCAAGTGGTAATTCACCTGAAAAATGTCATGCAATGCCTAAATATTGTTCCTAGTTTTTAATATAAATTAACAATGAAATAATGGCTTTGGGTGTGCAAGAGCATAAAATAGGCAAATAAGAGGTTCTGAAAGAGATAGTAAGTCTGCAGGAAGATGTATTATGAGCTATGTTATATCACAGGAAATAATTGGAAAAAAAATAAAATCACTGCAGTAATCAAAACACAATTTGAAAAAACAGGTAGAAAAAATAATGCTGAAAGTATAGTAGGAAATATAGAGGTTATAAATGAGAAACCAAAACAACAAAGGGTATGGAAATAGTACCTGACATCAAGTAATGGCTTCTTGTTTTCATTACATATGTTTTATAATTTTTATCCCAAATTTCCTTTGCCAAGACAAGCTCATTGAATACTTCAGCTCAGTTCTCCTTCCGTGTCTGTCCATCAAGAAATTAATTCCTGGTCCTATAATTAGGTAATTGTATTTTAGGAGACTTCTCTCCACACACCCCGCCCCCAGGATTTTGATCTTCCCAAGAGAAAGATCTTGGTTTCACTCTTTAATAATCCAGAATTGCACATTATTAACGATTTTGCTTGACCATGGAGTCACATAGAGCCAGATTTTCATAATAATTCAGAAAGTCATTACCATAAACTCTTTGTAAACATACATGCCAGGTCATCAGGCATTAGATTCTGATTTGTCAGGTATACATTGACATAGAGACTGAAAAATCATGCCTGTGTTACCATTCTTGTTTCTTCTGAACAGCATGTAGTAACACATGCTCATTTTAAAAGTTATCATGGAATATGAAAGCCAACTCCATGTCATCCTCCTCATACACACACACTTCAAGTCCTAAGAGGAACAGGACACTTTTGATGGGGTTTATATAGATTTGTTAATAACATTTAAATATTTATTTTCATAATAAAACTAACATTTATTATTAATACCATAAATATTATTCTATACATGCTTTTTTTGATCTTTCAGTAGCATTTTACCATATTTGCTGGTTTTTACAGAACTATTTTTAAACGTACAGACATTAAACCACTAAATCTTTCAGTATGATGCCTAAGAGCTTGTGTTTGGTAAAGCTCTCCAATTAATTCTGATAAAAACCATTTGTTAAATACCACTGACTTAATATCTATTCAAAGTGTTGAAAGAAAATCATAGGTAGAGTTATGGCTGCCAGAAACATAGTTGAATGAAAATCAGAGCTGTGTGAAATATTTAAAAATTCAGCATTTAACAAAGATATTGTTATAGCAGCGTAGCTCATGTTTGTGTTAAAGTAAATGATACAAACAGGCTTTTTTTTTTTTAACTTTTTATTTTAATCACCCAGTGCTCATCACGACAAGTGTGCTACTTAATGCCCATCATCAGTTTCATCCATTCCCTCCACCTCCCCTCTGGTAACCATCTGTTTGTTCTCTATAGTTAAGAGTCTGTTTCTTGGTTTCTCTTTCTTTCTTTTTCCCTTTGCTCATTTGTTTTGCTTCTTAAATTCCACATATGAGTGAAATCATATGGTATTTGTCTTTCTCTGACTGGCTTATTTCACTTAGCATTATATTCTCTAGCTCCATCCATGTCCTGGTAAATGGCAAGATTTCATTCTTTTTTATGGCTGGGTAATATTGCAGTGTGTGTGTGTGTGTACACCACATCTTCTTTATCCATTTGTCAATTGATGGACACTTGGGCTGCCATCATAATTTGACTATTGTAAATAATGCTGTTATAAATACAGGAGTACATGTATCTCTTGAATTAGTGTGCTTGTATTCTTTGGGTAAATACTCAGTGGTGCAGTTGCTGGATCATAGGGTAGCTCTATTTTTAACTTTTTGAGGATCCTCCATATTGTTTTCCACAGTAGCTACACCAGTTTGCATTCCCACCAACAGTACATGAGGGTTCCTTTTTCTCCGCATCCTTGCCAACATCTGTTGTTTCCTGTGTTGTTGATTTTAGCCATTCTAACAGGTGTGAGGTGATACCTCATTGTGGTTTTGATTTGCATTTCCCTGATGAGTGATGTTGAGTATCTTTTCATGTGTCTGTTGACCATCTATCTATATGTTTTCTTTGGAGAAATGTTTGTTCATGTTATAGGCCTTTCATTTTTTTTTTTTTCTTTTTAGCAAATGAAGCTGAAAGTGATGGGGAGATTTGGGAAGGCAACTTTTTAAAAACATTATTGGACTGTAAACTAAGAGAATGAAAGAACTTGAGTATAAGATTATGGATGAGAATGAACAATTTTATGGGGACAAACAGCTGGGCTTACAAGAATAAAATATATTCATTCTAGATTTGTAAATTGATGGCTTGGTTCTAATCTGAATCCAGATATATTGATATGTTTGGTTCATTGTGATACCTTTAAAAAAATACTGTCAGTTCTTAGGTTATTGGACTCAGTAGTATTAGTATTGGCATTCTATGGAATTGTATGATACATTATTAGAAATATAGTATTGTAGCTAGCAGAGGAGTAAAGACAGATATGCATAATCAAAAAATATTAAGGTACAGGTAAATGAAAGTTCCAGGATTAGGTTTAGAGTTGTAGGTTTTCATGTTATGGGAGATATAAAAGCATATATATATATATATATGTATGTATGCAGGATTGAAGACTAATGTTAAATGAGGTGAGATTTGGTTGGGAGAAAGCCAGAAAACATTGCAAGAGGGTTTGATGGCCAGGAGAAGTCCACACTGTTGAACAACTCTGATGGAATAAAGGGAAAATACCATAAATCAAAAGAGCTGTAAATTGATCCTGTGGCAAGAAAGACTTTTTACCACTCATTGTTTTTGCTATTTTGTTGTGTGTTTTTATTCCCGGTGCATCAGAGCTAGAAACAGAATTAAAGATATTAGGGATAGGGTTATCGTACTGTTTCCTTTTGAATTAGAGGTCTTAGAATTTTGATTTGTTGTTATTGTGTGGAATGGAAAAGAGAGATGAGACTGGAAGTGTGTATACTGTTGTTATAATCGAGACATGAGGAGATAATGAACTAAGCTTGTCCACTCCCCGAAACCTAATTAATTCTGTTTCTCCTAAATATACTTGTCAACTAATCTTCCTTGTTACTCTATTTATATTTCAGAATTAATTAATAACAGTAGAAACTATTCAAGAAAGAAGTTCAATGAGTTTAACAAAAGTAGAAATGGGCTCCTTAATGATAAATATGAAAGAATTCATTCTGAAGAGAAACTTTATGAATATAATAAAAATGGCTTCCACTGTAATGACGACTTTGTTCACCATCAGAAAATTCAAATTTTGGAGCAGCCTTTTGAATACAGTGAATGTAGGAAAGCTTTCCATGAGAATTCACTCTTTGTTGTACATAAGAAAGCTTACACAGGGAAGAATACCTGTGAATACACTGAATATGGGAAGATCTTCTGTGATATGTCATCTCTTATTGCTCATCAGAGAACACATCCAAGAGAGAATGACTGTGAATTTAATGAATATGGAGAAAACTTCTTTGAGGAATCCATTCTCTTTGAGCATCAGAGTGTTCAGCCTTTCAGCCAGAAGTCAAACCTCATTCCAATTCAGAGAACCCACTCAATTGACAATATACTTGAATATAATGAATGTGGAACATTTTTTAGTGAAAAGTTAGTCTTTGGTGTACAGCAGAGAACACACACAGGAGAAAAACCTTATGAATGTCATGAATGTGGAAAAACCTTCAACCAGAAGTCAGCCCACACAAGACATCAGAGAACACACACCGGGGAAAAATCTTGTGAATGTCATGAATGTGGGAAAACTTTCTACAAGAATTCAGACCTCATTAAACACCAGAGAATTCACACAGGGGAGAAACCTTTTGAATGTCAGGAATGTGGGAAATCCTTCAGTGAAAAGTCTACCCTCACTCAACATCGGAGAACACACACAGGGGAGAAACCATATGAGTGTTGTGAATGTGGGAAAGCCTTCTCATTTAAGTCCGTCCTTACTGTACATCAAAAAACACACACAGGGGAGAAGCCCTATGAATGTTATGAATGTAGGAAGGCCTTTCTCAGAAAATCAGACCTCATTAAACATCAAAGAACTCACACAGGGGAAAAACCTTATGAATGTCATGAATGTGGGAAATCCTTCTCTGAGAAGTCAACTCTTACCAAACATCTGAGAACTCACACAGGTGAGAAACCCTATGAATGTATTGAATGTGGAAAATTTTTCTGCTACTACTCGGGTTTCACAGAACATCAGAGAAGACACACAGGGGAGAAACCTTTTGGATGTAATGAATGTGGGAAAAATTTCCGTCAGAAGTCAGCCCTAATTGTTCATCAGAGAACTCACATAAGACAGAAACCTTATGAATGTAATGAATGTGGAAAATCATTCTGTGTAAAGTCAAAACTCATTGCACATCATAGAACACACACGGGGGAAAAACCCTATGAATGTAATGTTTGTGGAAAATCATTCTATGTGAAGTCTAAACTCACGGTACATCAACGAACACATTTGGGGAGAAACCCTATAAATGTAATAAATGAGGGAAATCACTCTGGGTGAAGTCAAGAGTTTATAGAAAAAGAACAAAAATGGGGAGAAAAATCCATTGATAACAATGATTGTGAGAACATCTTTGGTCTAAAGTCAGTTCTCACAATATAGCAGAGAACTTACAGAGGGGAGAGAATGATATGAAGCTGTGGAATATAGAAAACTTCTGTGCTGGGATTGGACCCATACTCAGTGGAGAAAACCTATTGGTGAATGAATATAGGGAACCTTTTGCCCAAAGCCACACCTCACTAAACATCAAAGAAAACAAATAAGTTAGAAACATCTATCAGCATTTGTAGGGTGGAGAAGACTTTATCCACGGGCCTTAGAAAATGCACAAATTATAGGAAACTCTAGGAAAGCATTTAGTCTGAGGTGATGACTTGTGTGAAGTGCTTGAAGTAGTATCTGGTCGATGTTGGAAATCACTAGAGAAAATATTTTCAATATGTGGAAGCTTTAAGTTAAATCTAAGCTTATACATCAGAGGTTTTGAAGGGTTTCTAGCCATTTAGGAAATGTGGAGAATGTTTTCATTTAGAAATAGTGTTTTCTTTTTGTAAAGATACACTTTGGCCCCTTGCCAGTCCGTTGTTCCCCTCTGTTTAAGGTATTAGATGTGAAAACACACCACACTGGGAGCACAGTTGTAAGCACGTCAGAGGTTTATTGCTCAGGCATATGCAGAAAAAGAGAAGATTTTTAGCAAGAGGACCCACCAACAGGACTTTCTGATGTCCAGGTAAAAGAGAGAGGTTTTGGATCTGGTGACACATGTAGGAGTAGCTTGCCAGCAGGATGTTTTAGTAATTCTGGGATAGATTGATTTTGAGTGGCTCATCCTGGAATAGTGGATCCAAGGGGAAAGGTGAGTTGCTATGCATGCAACATAGTGAATGTAGGAAAAGTGAGTGTGGAGCATAGGTGGTTTCTTTCCTGGCAAGTGTCATCCTGTTGTGAGTGACTTACTGTACCCAACTCTATTTCTCCACGTACTTAACACCTTTCATATGTGATGTAACAATTTCAAAAAACAAACATTTAGGGCGCCTGGGTGGCTCAGTTGGTTAAGCGACTGCCTTCGGCTCAGGTCATGATCCTGGAGTCCCAGGATCGAGTCCCACATCGGGCTCCCTGCTCGGCAGGGAGTCTGCTTCTCCCTCTGACCCTCCCCCCTCTCATGCTCTCTCTCTCTTTCTCTCTCTCAAATAAATAAAATCTTAAAAAAAAATTTATATATGAAAATGCATTCTTAAATATAGAGCTTTAAAAAAGCACAAGTAGATAATACTACCAGGTAGGTTATAGTAGCTTATAGCAGATCAGTGTACTAACTGAGAACAGCTAGAAAAATATCACAAAAAGCATCTATTTGAATGCAGCCTATGGCTGCAGAAGCAAAGAGGACTAGAGGTAACATGCAGGAGAGGAGTGAATCCTAGAAAGTACACGGGCAAAATGCAGCTGTTTTACCTGGGAGCACTTGCCAGTTCTGGCCACAGGGAGGAGCCTGAGTATTGAGCGTGGCTCAGGTGGAGGCTGGAACTCTTCGTAGGAGGGCAGAGACCAGAGCCAGCAGAACTTCTGGCCATCAAGGCTGGAGTGAAAAATTCTTAAACATTAGAGGTCAGACACATGACAGTTTTTGAAGAAATTTTTAGAAGACTGACTCAGCACAGAGCAGGAGCCTGAAAAGCAAAGCTGAAAGTAGATTTTTTTTTTCGGTACTAAGAAAAAAATGATTAGAATTTGGGAACTGCCAGTAGGATGGGCCCTTGCTGAGCACAGCATGCTATCAGTAAAAGCAAGGTCATATCAGAGGTAGAGTGTACCTTACTGCAATTGCAAACGATACCTGGTATTTAAAAAAAAACAAAACAAAACAAAAAGAAACCTGCCCAGGAAGAAAACTCAAGAACAGATGGCTTCACTGTAGTTACTCCAAATATTTAAGTAGGAAATGATACCAAGCTTTTATGAACTTTTCCAGAGAAAGGAAGATGGAACTTTTCTAATTCATTTTGTGAGCTCAGTATAACCTTGATACCAAAACCTGTAAAAGACATTTCAGGAAAGTAAAGTTACCAGTATTTTATTAATTAAGGTGCGTAATCCTAAATTTAAAAAAATCCAGTCATACCCATGGACAAAGTAATGTTTATTAGAGGAGCCAAGGGATTTAACATTTAAAATGAAATCAGTTTGGCCAGTTCTTCCTCTCACATTCTCCTTTCTCCCTTGTGCTTTCTGTATTTCTCTCTTGCCTTCCCTTCCTAGAGTGGATGTCAGAACAGGCCTGCCTTGGTGGATGAGAAAGGTATTGTGGTGAGGTGCACACCTGGATCAGAAGTGTTGAGGGCAGCTGGAAGAGACGATCAGCATGGCTGAAATCTTTAACATTGAGCAAATAAAATGTATTGAGGATGATGAGAGCCCAGACTAGAGAGGGCTTTCATAAAAATGGAGAAGGGGAAAGTTAGAAAACCCCAGAGTGTTGGATCGAAATGTAACTCATAGAAATTGTGTGTGTGTGTGTGTGTGTGTGTGTGTGTGTGTGTGTGTGTGTGTTTTATGGATCTATCTGCTGAGAGGGCCTGCATACAGTGATACCCCAGAAGCAGTGAGCACAGTTTACTAATTTCTTTACCAAGTGCCAGTTCACTAATTTCTAAATGCTGTCCTCCACCAAAAAAGAGACCAAGTCTCTGGAGTGATGGCAGATTCCAGGTCAGAGATAGGAAGAAATATAAGATGAAGCTGAATCATCTTACCTACAAGACAAAAATGTTCAAAGACTCTTGGAGACAAAAGAACCATCTTGGACAGGTTCCACTGGCCAAATTTGAGACAGTTCGGACAACAAAATAATGATAGCATCAGAATACAAGAGACTTAATAAAATGTGAATCCATTAATTTATAGTGATATGAATAAGTGAGTAAATTTATGGAGGAGAAGGGAAAACTTTTTTTTTAAAGGTTTTTATTTATTTGACAGAGACACAGCGAGAGAGGGAACACAAGCAGGGGGAGTGAGAGAAGGAGAAGCAGGCTTCCTGCCAAGCAGGGAGCCCGATGTGGGGCTCGATCCCAGGACCCCAGGATCATGACCTGAGCTGAAGGCAACGCTTAACGACTGAGCCACCCAGGCGCCCCGGGAAAACTTTTCTTTACAGAAGATGCCAATTAATGTAGGGAGAATAACGGAAATAGGAAAACACCATGGCAGCCATCAGAGTGGTGGTTGATTTAGGTGGTAGTTGCCAACATAGGCTAGAGTTCGTGGGTAGAGGTTTGATTAAGAATATATTAACATAATCTTCAGATATTTCCCCACAAAATACTAATCAGCTGCAAAGGTGAAAGTGGTGATTTTATGATTAAACCCGGCAGACACCAACATGAGGTGATCACCTCACCAGTGAAGTGGGACAGGTCAACATGATGTGTCCCCTGATGGGATGCCCTGAGAAGAGCCAGCATCATCTGTGTGGTATTTTTGCCAAGAAACATGACCTGTGTTTGCTTAGGAGATATCAGGTGAACCCATTTGAAAGGTTATTTTACTGAATGCAAAGCCTATTGTCTTTAAAAATGTGAAGGACATGAAAACTCCAGATTGGAGGGGACTGATCTATTTTAAAGATTTATTTATTTATTTTAGAGAGTGAGTGTTCGTGTGAGTAGGGGGAGGGGCAGAGGGAAAGAATCTTCAAGCAGACTTCCTGCTGAGTGGCGAGCCCTATGTGGCGCTTGATCTCATGACCCTGAGATCATGACCTGAGCCAAAACCAAGAGTTGGACTCTCAACCGACAGAGCCACCCAGGTACTCCGAGACTGGAGATATTTTAAAATAACAAAAAGGAAGACTAGACTTTGTTAGAACAGTTGGCAAAATTCAGCATATGGATTGGACGGTGGTATTTATCAGTGTTTATCTCCTGACTTGGATGATTGTTGGGTGCCTCTGTGGAAGATACACCCTGGAGTAGGTAGGGGTAATGGAGCCTCATGTCTGCAGCTTATTTTCAGATGCTTTAGAGAAAGTCTAGTAATTTGTGTGTGTGAGTGCAAGTATGCGAGGGACAGATGTAGGAGGTGCAGTGCAGTTAGGGGAATCGGAGTGAGGGGGATATGGGAGTCTTTTTGGTATTAAGCTTGTGACTTTTGTAAGTGTGAAATTATTTCAGAATAAATATTTAAAAGTTCAAGTTAATTGACATAACCTACCACATCAGTAGAAAAAGCAAGTAACGCCACTTGATTATTTCAATAGATGCAGAAAACATATTTGATAAAACTTTACACCCATTTGTGGTTAAAAAAACAACAAAACTAGGAATGGAAGGAAAGCTCGTCAAAAACAAGGAAACCAACATACAGCAAACATCATACCAAGTAGACAAATACTGAGATATCTCTTCCTGATATGAATGAGATAAGAATGCTTATTACCGCTTCTGTTTAACATAGGACTGAAGCTCTAGCTTATCATCAAGACAAAAAGGAAAAAGAAGTATAAGGCATAAAACTGAGGAGACTGAAGCACAACTCATTATTGGTAGGTGGTATCATTGCATAGAAATGTGAAAAAAATCTATGGAGACGTTATTAGAAGTGATTAAACAAACTCACTGTACAAAAATTGTTTCTATATATAAACTACAAATAGAAAATAAGTGATACCAGGGAAGTTTTATCCACCCAGGATAGGGTAGCAGAGACCAGATTTACCTGCCTGCCTAAAAACACGGGGAAAAGGGAAACATAAAATCTAGGAAATAATTGTTTTCATGTCAGTGGGCATTAGGCAGTGCTCCCTGTGGGTGGATAGGTTCACTACATTGTGGTGATGCTTATACAGGTGTATTAAATTATATCAAGATGTACACTTTAACTACTGTTACGTTGCTGTTAGATTTACAATAGTCCTAAAACAGTAAGTTCTAGAAATCCAAAAACTTCATTGCCAAATTAAGGGATGTTAAAGACCAAAATAAATGGAAGGATATACTCACTGTGTTGATGACTTTGAAGACTCATTCCCCCCACTCCCCAAACTGAATGGTAGATTCAGTGCAACCCTAAAACCATCTAGCAGCTAATTAGAAATTAGCAAGTCTGAATTTAAAATGTATATGCAGATGCAATGACTAACCATATCTAAGGACAACCTGAAAATAGAAAAATAAATCTACAGGACTTAGAGTGCTGGATATCAAGACGGTGGTATAGGCAGAAGCATAAACAATGTCCAGAAACAGTCCCCAATATATTAATCTATGACAAAGGTGACAGTGTAATATTGTGGTAAAAAGATGGCATTTTTGATAAATGGTGCTGGGTTAATTGGCTCTCTGTATGTGTAAGAGAAACACTTTGTAGCCACCCACCACACACAGAAACTCGTTTCGTATAGATTGTACATCTAAATGTGAAAGGTAACACTTTTAGAAGAAAATACAGGTAAGCATCGTGGCTTTGGCTAAGACACCTTAAACAAGAAACAAAAACCATAGATGAATTCAACTACATTAGAATTAGAACTGCTGTTTGTTCAAAAACAAAACCCCCCCAAAAAACAGGAGTTAAGAGACTGGGAGAAGATAATTGCGATGCATATCTCAAACCAAGGACTCTTCTACAGAATATAGAAGGAATTCCAACAAATCAGCAAGAAAAAGAAAAATGAGCAGCAGATTGAACATAATTCACAGAGTATACTTAAATGATCAGTAAATGTGGAAAGTTGCTCAATTTCTTTAGTCATCAAGGAAAAGCAAATTCTAACAAAAATGCAATACCACTGCACACCAGAATAACTACAGTGATAAAACACCAACTGATAATGAAGATCTGAAGCAACTGGGACTAATACAAGTTTGGTGGGAATGTAAGTTGTGCCCTTTGGAAAAATGGACTCTTTCTACTAAAGCTGAACATACATGTAAATTTTGGCTGTGTAATTATACTTCTAGATGTATCTTGAACAGAAATATATGTTTCCTGAAAGAATGATCATGGTGGTAGTATTCTCAATAGCCCAGAAGTAGAAATAGCATGAATGGGC